TATGTATGTATGTATGTATTTATGTATGTATGTATGTATGTATGTATGTATGTATGTATGTATGTATGTATGTGTGCGTTCGTATGTATTCTTGAGTATTGCTGATGATTAGACTCTTCTTTATTAAGTTTCTTTTTGTCAATACATTCATTTTGTACATCGATCAATTATTTGGTGTTTATTTATTTATTATTATTTATTATTTATTATTATTATTATTATTATTACTACTATTAATATTAGTATATTTTTGGAATGTACATTCTCCAATCGTCAATAACATTAGTACATTTCGATATGGTTATCATCCAGATACACATTCATTATCATCATTATTATTATCATAGTTTGTTAATAATAATAATAATAGAATTACTATTATTGTTATAGTTTATTATTATTATTTTTATTATAGTTTGTTTTTATTATTATTTTTATTAGTATTATTATTTTTTTTATGGGGGAAGCGTGCCAGCTTCTCATCGAAGTAAGCAACGAGTATGCGTAATATGTGTTGTTATTATTATTATTATTGTTGTTGTTGTTATTATTATTATTGTTGTTGTTATAATTGTTGTTATTATTATTATTATTATTGTTGTTGTTGTTGTTGATGATGTTGTTACTATTGTTGTTGTTGCTGATGTTATTATTATTATTATTATTCACTATGGTTATCGGTTATATTTTTACTCGATTTCTCCTTTCATCTTGTTTATCGTTATTAAATTCTCTTGTTATCAATATTGTTGTTATTATTATTATTATTATTATTATTGTTGTTGTTGTTGTTGTTTCATTATTATCATTCTTTTTAACAATTTTTTTGATTCCATCGTCACATGTGTACATACAACCTATTACTAATTACACTAAACCTGATAGATATGGAGATTCCATATAGATAGAAAGAAACAAAAAAGATATAGAGATGCTAGCAGATAGAGAGAGAGAGAGAGAGAGAGAGAGAGAGAGAGAGAGAGAGAGAAAGAAAGACATAGTAAGAGAAAGAGAAAAAGAAAGAGAGAGAGAAAGAAAAAGGCACAAAGTGAGAAAAAGAGAGATGTATATATATTATATATAGAAATACTATACATATCTATATATAAATATATAGATATATAAATTTATATGTATGTATATATAGTATGTATACTGTACAAGTTAAACAATCTTTGCTTTCTAGATTTCAAATTAACACTAAACCATATGCAGAGCAAGTGAATCTCATTGTTGTTATAATAACTTTTTTGTTTGTATATGTATGTGTGTAAATTTTTGTTGTGTATGTGTGTGTGTGTGTATATGTACCGAGTATGTTTGTACAGTTGTTTGTTTTGGACTGTGTTGATAGTTGTTTGTTTGTTTGTGTGTGTGTGAGTGTGTGTGTGTTTGTCTGTATTTTCGTGTGTGTTTATATTTAGAATTTTTCGTAACTATTTTTTGTCTGTCTAACTGTTGACTTTTCAACCAATTCCAACACTTGGTGAGAACAGCGTTAATATAATATTAAGAAAAATATTAATAAAAAGCATTAATAATAATAATAACAAAAATAGCGAAAGTAACAATGATGATTTTTTTGTGATTATCGTTTAGCTTTAGATATCAATCATTTCTTCAGATTTCTGGCTAATAAAAAACTTCGTACAAAAAAAAAATTTGAATGAATGAATGAATTAATTAAAAATGAATAAATGAATCAAAAAAAGAATGAATGAATGAAGTAATGGATTTTATTGGATATGTGGATGAATAAATAGACGGTTGGCTAGCAATTTTAGTTGTATTAGAAACTTTTAATAGAAACAGTAGTAGTAGCCACTGTAGCAGCCACAGAAGCAGCAGCAGTTGTAGTGGAAATAGCAGTAGTAATAGTAGTAAACCAGTAGCATACATACTTAATCAGCTATCATATGTTCACGGATTAGTTATTAAATTCTTAATACAATTACAGAATATACTGAGAGATTTGTATCGCTATGAGGATCTTATTAAATTTATAATGGTACTACTACTACTACTACTACTACTACTACTACTACTACTACTACTACTACTAACTACTACTACTAACTACTACTACTAATAATAATAATAATTCTTATACTAATACTACTACAGCAACTACCAGTACTACTACTACGAATGCTGCTACTACTACTTCTGCTACAATAACTACTACAACTGCTGCTACTACTACTATTATTAATAATAAAAAGATAAAAAGAACAAATATATCCATTCCATAAGTCTATAAATTCATAGATCAAATTGTATTATATAGATATACACATTCAAACATATACACACACACACAAACACACACATTTTTGTATGCACTTGATAAATAAAAAAATGTATAAATAAATATATAGGCTTCCGTTACTTCCAAACAAGGCAAACGTCAGATGAATACGAAATAACTTACACACGTACAAACAGACACAAACATGCACACAAGAAAGAAAGAGAAGGAGAAAGAAAGAAAGGGAAAGAGAGAAAGAGAAAGAAAGAAAGGGAAAGAGAGAGATAGGTGAGACACCTAGAAAAATCTATCCAACCATCCATTCATTTAGTCATTCGTTCATTTATTATCTGATAAGTACTTTGAAAATAATTTATATCGAGACTTGAACATTATTGTGTAAGTTTTAAAAATTATTCTATATTTCATTCATTCATCCATTCAACAAGGCACAACAAAGCAGTAATTTCGTTGAAATAATATTCACCTAGTGTTTCAACAAAAATTTTTTAATAATATTTCATAAAAATGTTAAATAACGTTCCCTAAATTTGTTTAAAAGAGCCGAAAATGGTTTATTACCATCTCCGCCCAAACGAATGAATTACATTTATCGAACGAAAGCTGCTGACTAATGAAAAACATCTATTTTTTTAATAAATTCTCGGGCAAAATGTATTGATACATCGACTAAAATTGATTAATCTTCAACGCGTTTTTTCGCATAATTTCGCAGATTTTATGAGCTGAAATTTCTGTGAAATCATTTAAGAGGCTATCAAATAATAAGTCTAAAATAATGTCAATAGTGTCAAAAATGAATGAATATTCATAAGTAAAATTTATTAATTCATTCAATTATTCTTTCATCACTCATTCATTCTTTCATTCATTCTTTCGTTCGTTCGTCCATTCATTCATTCATCCATTCATTCATTCTTTTGTTACTCACTTGAGCTGATATCTTTTAAGAACAAAATAAAATCATTAAAAAGTCAACACCAATTGTTACTCTTACTACTGAATAATTCCGTAAGTAAGTAGTAGCATTGAAAAAACTCAAACCATACACACACACACACACACACACACACACACACACACACACACACACACACACACACACACACACACACACACACACACACACACATACACACACACACACACACGCATACGCAACACACACAAACAAACACACAAACAAACACAAACACATGTGTAAATATACAATAATGTAAATACATGCACCACACTGAGTATATTCATGTGTTTATGTTGTAATTGTAAAGGCAAGCACTTTAGCCTTCAATCTCACATAAAATACGCTCATATACTTGTAGGTATACACATTATTACATGGCATATACACACATACATGCACACTTTGTATGATATATACGTTTATGCACATTATTATTTAGTATACACACACACATAAATACACGTATACAAAAACAGACACTTCGTTTAAAATGGTACATACATACATAAATTCAATATATCTGTGTTTTATACACACAAACACACACACATACACATGCGCGTACTATTTTAAGGTAAAACACATATATACATACTACTATACTGCTTATATACAAATACACGTGTACACATATGGACACAAATTACAGAAACATATACACAAAATACACATACATATACATACACATATTATGTATCAACATTACCAGCGTATTATAAACTTAATCGCATACAGTGATGATGAGGCTAAAAATAGTTCGAAAACATCTTATTTACGTATTTGTATCAATGTATGTATGTATGTATGCATATATGTATGTATGTATGTATTTAAGTTTAAGTAATGTACTATATAGCATGTAAGGGACATATGGTGAACTTTATTATTCTTGTTGAAAATGTTCGTGTAATATGTATGTGAATATGTATGTTTATTTATATATATATATGTATGTATGTAGGTACGTATATGTGTATGTATGGATGGATATATGTAGGTATGTGTGTTGTACCGTACCGTGGTTTAGATAGATAGCCTAGATTTTTGATTTAGCTTTTGAAGAAAATAACGAAATTCGTTAAGAAAAAGTTGTTGACATTTCAAAATAATCGTCAAGACCTTCAGCTACAGCATCCTAGAATGGTTTTCCGAATTTTGATCCAGAAAGATCTTAAGAGATTGCGTGTAGTTGTGGGTTCGCGTACAACAACGTCAGCAGTGAATGGCGTTTTTTGCAACAACGCTCTCCTCAATAATAATAATAATCTAAATTTTATTTCCTCGAATTTTTCAACAACTCAAATTCACGATGCCACGACACACTTGCCCGTTCCTATTCCCGAGACGTTGGTTTCATTAATTATAATTTATTATAATATAATTAACGTAATTAATTAAGTATGTGAGTGAGTAATTTATTTAATTGAAATGCAATGTTAATGAGTAGTTGGTAATATTGTTGATCTCGAAAATAGGTTGTTGTTTGTTGTTGTTGTCTAGTCTGCTTGTGAAAATATATGTAACAAAGTCAAGATCATATTTGTACGTTTCTCTAAAACTAAATCATCATTCTTATCTAACCCCAAACGCAAATACGTTACATTATAATTGAGTATTTATATTTGCTTTGGCTTAGAATACACGCCTCAGTTTAACTTTCTAAAATTTTTTTTAGAAGAATGATAGCCAAAATAATTTCACAAAATGTAATTTGTTGATACTTGACCTTTGACCCGCAGAAAGGAGAGTCACTCCTTTAAAAGATGGAGCTACCTGAGCGGGCCCAGCAACTATCCTCTGATAGGGGTGACCATAGGCCAGCTGATGGAGCAAGCCGCCCAACTGCACCCTGATAAAAACGCCTTTGTATTCACCCATCAGAGATTAAAATTAACTTTTGAAAAACTTCTAGAAGAGGTTGGTGCAACTTAAGTTCGTCGCTGGCGAATGATTACAATTTGTTTAAAGAATGGTGTTATTAACGGAGCTTATATAAAGTTTAATAATGGGAAACATCTTAATGTGTGATGGTACTAAATCTGTTTGTTTTTTTGATTTGCTGTAATTATTCTCGGCTGTACAAAGATTTTTTCAAAATTTTGTGACGAATTTCTTAATAATAAAATCGGAAGTTTGTATCAGAAAAATAAAAAATTTAATCATTAAGTTAATTCAACCTTACCCCTTAACAAACTCCAAACTTTAGAGTGACAAGTTGGCGGCAGGGCTGATAAAGTTGGGTGCAAAATACCAGGATCGGGTGGGCATATGGGCCCCCAATTGCATCGAGTGGATTCTCCTGCAGTATGCCACGGCGAGGGCTGGGCTAATTCTGGTCAATAATTTGTTAAAGTTTGGAAAATAAAGAAGTAATTTTATATTTTTAAGGGTGGTAGATTCAGAATCTGAATTAATTTTTTTTTAATTCAGAACGGTGTAGTTAGTTCAATTCAATAATTTGCGACAACTTTTCAAATATTAAAACATAGACTACTTCAAGTTCTTCCAACTGCCTTTTACTTACTCACAACATTCGGAACGATTTTTTTCGAATCAATCTGTTAGTTAGGTCCATTATAAAGCGTTGTTGCACTTACGGAGCACAAATAACTGGTTTATTTATTTACTGAGGTTGTCTGAAGATCATTGGCAAAATTACTAACTTATTTATTAACTTCTACTAATACTTTTACTGATTTTTACTAACGTATGCTTATTACTATACATCACAGGTCAATATAAACCCCGCATATCAAGCGCCTGAGTTAGAATTTTGCTTAAAAAAGGTAGACTGCCAAGAATTTTTCGGTTTTAATTTTGATTTTAAAATAATAATTAATAAACGGATTTTCAGATTTAGATTTTAAAATGATTCGTACTATGAAGAAGTTAGTGTTATGGAAATGTTAAAATTAATTGTTTGACGTGATTGACGTGAACAGGTGGGTGTGAAGATTTTGGTGATGATTGACAAGTACAAGGGCCAGGATTATTATGAAACCCTACACGAAATATGCCACGAGATGAACGAATCGGCCACTAGTGTTGAAAGCATTAAGTCGGTAGTGCTGTCTGTCTGTGTGTGTGTCTGTCTGTCTGTTTGTATGTCTGTCTGTATGTGCGTCTATCTGCCTGTCTGTCTGTTTGTCCGTCTGTCTGTCTGAGTGTTGTATTAACGAGATTGTAATCTTGTTATAAATTGCATGACTTACATTTAGAAAACTTTACCCCTATTTGCACAACTAAATCACTTTGCATGTATGTTTGTTTTCTTGTGTGTCAATTTTTATACATTTTTAAAATTTCTTGACTTATTAAATTATTATTTTTTGATTTAATTTGGTAAATTTTCTTAAACAAACAGTCTACCGGACCTTAAGCAAGTTGTCCTCATTGGCGATAAACGACTGCCGTCTGTCTTACATTCTTTCAAAATTATTTATTCAGTTTTTAATTTTTAATAATTATCCGATATTTAAATAGTCATATAGTCAAAGAGGTGACGAGACAGTTCAATGGTTAAGGCGTATGTTGCTAATGACAGAGTTAAAACTGTAGCAGAGTTTATTAGTTTATTACGAGAGAATTAATAATTATAATAAATAATATTAATGATAATAATAAGTGATAATAATAAATGATGATAATAATAAATGATAATAATAATTATAAATTGTTTGTGACGTCATTGCTAGATGCACGCTTCTATTTTCTGACCTCTTGAGTATGGCCAGTCGAGAGGAGATTCGAGAAATCGTCGACATGCAATCCAAACTTCAGTTCGACGATCCAATCAATATACAATTTACTTCTGTATGTGTGTGTGCGTGCGTGCGTGTGTGTGTGTGTTTGTTTGTATGTTGGGAATTTGAACATATATCTGTGTGTTAATGCATTTTCTTTGCTTATAAGAAAATATAGCTTTTTGTATTTTATCTATTGTATAGTATGGTATGGTATTAGTTGTTGGTATTTGGGTTTTGATACACGGGTATTTGCATACATGTCCTAAGGGTACGACAGGGTCGCCGAAGGGGGCCACACTATCCCACCACAACATCGTTAATAACGCCCTCTCTCTAGGCTACCGACTAAAATTTCACGAAAGGGTATTTGTGCTTTCTTTTTACGTATTTTCATTTAAAAAAAATTTGTTTTATTATAAACTTTCAATTTATTTTGTCGTAATTCTTATTTCAAAAAGCCAGCAACAAAGACAAAACAGCCAAAGAGCAACAAATGAAATATACTAAAAAAATACAACACCACCTTCAGCCCAACCAAACCATTAACACTCACCTTCAAACAGGAAACCAAGATTTGCATGCCAGTGCCTTTGTACCATTGTTTCGGGATGGTGATGGGCAGCCTTCAGACCCTCTGCCACTCGGCCACCGTGGTCCTTCCCTCTTTCAGTTTCAACGCACGTGACACCATTAAAGCCGTCCAATCAGAAAAGTGGAAAATTTTTTTTGTCATGTTTCTTCTCTTTTTTTCTTAATTGTTCTTTTTTCATTTTTTCTTCTCTCTTTTTCTCTCCTCGTCTTTCTTTTCTTTTTTCTCTTTCTTTTAGTTTCTCTCCCTCTATTCTGTTTTCTGTTTCTCTATTGTTTTCTGTTTCTCTCTCTCTTTCTCTCTCTTTCTCTCTCTTTCTCTCTCTCTCTCTCTCTCTATCAGCGATTTCATTGCAACATGCCATAGGTGCACGACGCTGTATGGAACGCCAACGATGTTTATTGACTTTCTGAGCTTGCAAGATTTATCATCATACAATCTTAATTCTTTGGACACTGGTAAGTGATCGTTATTTAATTATAATTAGTTATAATTGTTCATAATTAGTTTAATTATAATTGAATAATTAATTAGATAATTGGTTAATTATTTTTTGGTAAAACGCATGTAGGTGTTATAATTAATTCCTTGAGAGGTATTTTCGTGTTATATTTTTCAGACTTTTTCATGATCATTTTCTTATTTAAATTTTTGTTCATTTATATATATATATATATAAATAGTTATCGAATCAATTAGTTAATTGGTTAATTAATTTAATTGATAAATCGCTGGCAGGAATTATGGCTGGAGCTGTATGCCCGGTCGAAATAATGAAAAAGTGTGTGACACAGCTGCATATGAAGCACATCGCTGTCAGTTTTGTAAAAAAAAATTTGTCTTGCGATAAAAATCGTTTAAATTAATTATTTAATTAATTAATTGGTTAATTAGTTGATTGGTTAATTAAATGATTGGTTAATTAATTGATTGGTTAATTAAATGATTGGTTAATTAAATGATTGGTTAATAAAAGGATTGGTTAATTAAATGATTGGTTAATTAATTAGTTATAACTAAAATATTTTGATTTATTTTAGAATTGCTACGGGACTACAGAGAACAGCCCAATAACTTTTCAATCAATGTTTAATGACTCCTTCACTAAGAGGACAACAACCGTCGGAAAAGTTCATGATCACGTGGAAGTTGGTATTTTTGATTGGTTGGTTGGTTGATTGAATGAATGAATGAATGGATGGATGGATGGATGGATGGATGGATGAATGAATGAATGAATGAATGAATGATTGATTGATTGAGGGATTGCTTGTTTGGTTGGCTGGTTGATCGATCGATCAGTTGTGCTGCTAGTGTTGTACTGTTGTTTTTAATGGTTCGTTTTAGTTGTTAGTGTTGTTGTTGGCTCATTATGTCGTCGTTGTTGTAGTTTGTATTTTGTTGGTTGTTTGAAGTACACAAAACAATGTACACTCTAGGCCAAAATCGTGGACGCCGAAGGAAACATACTTCCGTTGGGTGAATCCGGAGAGTTATTGACCAGGGGGTACGTTGTGATGAAGGGCTACTGGGGCGACCACGAGCAAACTGAAGCCACAATGTCTGGCTCCTGGTATAAAACAGGGTTGGAAAAACTTTTTCCGAATTGTTTCTACAAATATTTATACAATGTCAAAATTCGTTCATTTACCAATCTTTTTATTCACCCACTGACTCACTTTTGAAATCATCCACTAACTTATATTTTACTATTTTTAATATCTATTTTGAATCTATTTGTTACCTATTTAATTTGTTTGCACTAAATCATCAAACAAACTTAAATGAACATACAAACAAACAAACAATTCAACACTTACAAACACACACACGCACGCACGCATACGCACACAGACAGACAGACAGACAAACAAACACAACGGCAGAGATCTAGCGGTATTCGACGAAGAAGGATATTGTACAATTATCGGCCGGAAGAAGGATATGATCGTCAGAGGAGGGGAGAATATTTACCCGGCAGAGATTGAACAGATTGTCTACAAGCACCCCAATGTATTAGATGTGCAGGTTGGTCGCTTGACTGGCTGGCCGGTTTGTCTGACATGCACACACACATACAAACACACATACAAATATACACACATACATACAAACACACATACAAACATACACACACACATAAACACACACATACAAACATACACACACATACAAATATACTCATACACACACATGCAAACATACAAATACACACACACATACAAACACACATACGAACATACAGATACACACACACATACAAACATACAGATACACACACGTACAAATACACTGATACAAACACACATACAAACATACACGCCCACAGGTTATTGGCGTCCCTGACGCGAGGCTAGGTGAGCAAGTAGCAGCATGGATCATTTTGAAAGAAGAAGGATTAACCACTGAGAAAGACATCGTTGAGTTTTGCAGACATAAGGTATGAACTTTTTTTAATGATACATTCATTTATTCGTTTGTTATTTTATTTCTTTTATATATTTTTTTTATTTCTTTCGTTCATTAGTTTGTTCATTTTTGTTTTGACTACTTGAAGCCACAATAATATTTACCCCAACTATGTATCTGTTGGTTATTTTTCGTTCGTTTACAATTTACAAACTAATTTCATTTGTTTCTCCATTCATTTATTCATCTATTCATCCGTTCATCATTTATTTATCTATCAATTTTTTTATTCACTCACTCACTCACTCACTCACTCACTCACTCACTCACACACTCACTCACTCACTCACTCACCCACTCACACACTCAAACACTCAATCAATCAATCAATCAATCAATCAACCAATCACTCACTCACTCACTCACTAACTCACACACTCACTCACACACTCAATTAATCAATAAATAAATCAATCAATCAATTAACCAATCAACCAATCAATCAATCAACCAACCAACCACCCAACCACCAACCTCATGGAATAACCTCCACCAAAGATGGCATATTTCAAGATACCCCACTACATAACTTTCGTGAAGAACTACCCGCTTACGATCACTGGCAAGGTTAAGAAGTACGTCATGAGGAAGGAGGCGTTGAAACTCTATGATCTGGAACATTTGGAGGATTGAGACGACGATGATGATGATAGTGATGTTGATGATGGTGGTTGGTGATGATGATGATGATGGTAAGAGTGCAATTGATGATGATGGTTGCTGATGATGATGACGATGATGATGATAGTAGTGGTGACGACGATGATGATGATAGTAGTGGTGACGACGATGATGATGATGATGATGGTAATAGTGATGTTGATGAAGATGGTTGGTAATGGTGGTGATGATCGTAGTGATGACGATGATGAAGTTATGAAGAAGGAAGCGCTGAAACTCTATGATATAGAACATCTGGAAGATTAAGATGATGATGATGATGATAATGACGATGATGATGATGATGATGATGATGATTTGGTGATGTTAGTGATGATCTCATTATAAGAAATGAAACTTTTAAGCTATAAGATCTAATCATTTAGATAATAAATATGATGATGGTAGTGACGAAGAAGAAGATGACGATGATGATTGCAAAGAAAAATTTGTCACCATCATCATCATTCTAAAATATAGCTAATAGTTTCACGTAAGATTTGGTTGATATCACTGTCACAAAAAGTTATCACACTACATCACCGCTTTTAATGATAATGAATAAACCCTCAGCGAAGTTCGACGTCCTATGCTAAAGAGAGAGATACTTCATTTCAATTATGATGATATGGCATCATGATACCTATCGCTTATACAATATCAAGATACACACACACACGCATATATATATATATATATATATATATATATATATATATATATATATATATATATATATATATATATATATAT